ATCACGTTGCCTGGAGAGCCGTAAGGGATGATATACTTTCCTCCATGCAGGGTCGCGGAATGCTTGCCGGCGAACAACTCAAGCGGTAATTCAAATTCTACTACTTTGTCAGAAGTGGAGGTGATGAATGCGGGTGGTCAACCATGTCAACGCGTTCGTGTGTCAGCCAACTACAAGGGTCGCCGATTGAGTGGGGAGGGCTTCAACCTTCGCACCGCCAAGTTAAAAATCGCTCGACAGTTGGGCATTGGATTTACCTAGACACCAGCGTCCTCCTCCCTTTCCCCTGCTTTCTACCTAGTAAACCGGTTGCATTGATGGTTATTGGGATCTTCACTAATCCTAGTTTTAGGAGCTGGGTGGCTTAAGCTTTGAATCCTGACGCCTTAGTTTTCCATCGCCTGTAATTTGGTTGTGTATTGAGTCGGAGATGGTGCCGTTTAATGCAGGTGAAAAACCGTGTAAATGTAGCGGCGAAGAGGTGTGCCCCTCTTCAGATTAGTCGCTAGGGTCGTCTGATTATTCGCTTACTAAATATCGCTCTGATGTGGAATTTGGCACCATAAAACAGGATAACCGGGATTCAAATGTAAGGGGATGTCTCTCAAAAATGTGCTCATACTTATAGCGTGTTCGCTAGCCTCCTTAAAAGCGCAATAGAGGGTGCTGAGCTCTGGGTAGGCTTGGTCACCCCATATGAGCTGGGGATCAGCTTGACCTCGAGAAATTTCTCATTTTGGAGGAAAAGGCCTCCAAGCGCAACGACGTGCCCTCGCACTCTGCTAAAGCAGCCTTGATGCTCTTACCATCCTGTCGCTGTCTGGGCTAACGGATTGAAGATTAAGTCATTTTTTCATTTTGTTGTAGCATTGTGCAAATCGAACTCGTTTTGCAGAACAAATCTACACTTCGTATTAGAATAAGGCGGAAGTTGTCGAAATGTTACAACCTTAAGGATCTGGTATTGTAGGTGGCAAAAGAAAGAATAGTATTCTCTGTGTTTAAAATCGGAAAGACAGATACTGTGAAGCCAAAAACTGCCTTAAATATGGCTTTCTGACCTAATTATCTATCTCAAGTTAACAAAATGCATAGTTATAAGGTGATGTGTCCGTAAGACATGTTATTTGGTGGCACTATATCGAGACTACTCGACACCGATCCCATGCCAAAAAATCACAGCTATTTAAAACAGAACACAAGATTGCGATTAGTTGAAACCTATTATCAGTAGTGTTTAATAAGATCAGTGAACACATTCTGACTGTATAGGATTGACTTGAAAGCTTTTTCGAAATAGGTATAAACACCTCCAGTAAGGAATTCTTCAAAAAAATGAAATATATTTTCTAATGCTTCGCAAACTTAGTTAAAATGACGAAATGCCGTGAATATCATAAGAAACCCTTAACCAAAGTGGAATGAAAGACGGTCAGTCTAGATTTTATTTGTTTTTTTTTCAATCCACCCACCTATGGGCATTGAAGCATTTGGGTAAAGGTGACTTGAGACATTAATATCTGACCTTCAGAGATAGCAGTTGTGTTATTAAAAGGCGGAAATAACATCAGCCTTATAAACGTTAATTACAAACAAAATTATTTATAAGCCATTTAAGTCGGTAGTTACTTTAAAATACTAAACTTGTCGCTGAAATAACCGTGTTTAAAGCCCCCCTAATTGTTCCGCGCCGAATTTGTGGTTTCGTGGATTTTGCTCGCAAGATGAACAGAAGTGATCGAGCCAATAAAGCTCTTGTGCAGCCTATTGTAAGTTTTGTTGTTTCATCATCGGTTTAATTTAGACTGTTATTTACGGGCATATGCAAGTGGTATGTTCACACTTCCGGTTTATAGCATTAGAAAACTCCCGTTCAAATCTGGCTCTACGAACAAAGTAATATGCGGATTGAAGGCAGGATTGTTGGTTTTGATGAATATATGAACCTTGTTTTGGTGGAAGCCTGTGAAAGGCACATGAAGTCTGGCGCCAAGAAAATGATCGGTGAGCAGTCCTGTTTAGATCCTATTTCTTAGGTCGTATCCTCCTTAAGGGTGAAACCATCACACTCATTCAAAAGCTTCCTCAGTAACCCTTGAAAATGCATTTTGTAATAAAGTATTGATACAGAGATGTGAAATTTCTCACGTTGTCGACATGTATGATCATTGGTCGTGGCTTTTCCGTTAATTTGCCGACCAGGGAGTTTAGCGCGGTTCATACATGGCATTTTTACCAGTGCTAATAGCGGTGGGCTGTTGTTTGATCCTTGAACGTTTAAAATCGTTTATATAATCTGTTTAGGTGATGTATTATTCCTGAGAGTGATCCCATTGTGGTTTGCCATGGCGGTTATTATATCCAGGATTTTTAATTAATAATCCGGTCTTTATTGTAGCTAAGTTTTTACAAAAAGATCAACCCAAAATCATTGGGCGGTTATTCTCGACCCATCAATGGTCATCTGTTCGCAGCCCCTTATGTTTTCAGACTTGTTTTCATTCTGTTTTAACGAGTCCAAGTCGTGATTTCATAGCTAGGACCGCACGGAGGAGTTTTTGGCGTTGCACGACCTTTTCGAAGGAAACTAAGCGTGAGATGTTGGGAGTCTTCCTAGATTATCGATATGCAGCTTTCATGTATATTGAGAATGCCGGCGGTCGCACGCATGGTTGGTGTGATTGATTCTGCAAATGCGTGGGATGATATTGTCTGATTGACGAAATTGGAATGTGGTATTCTCATGATTACATTACCGAGAGTTCGTAGGTGCTTGGGGTGGTCACGGTTAGCCAATCTGATGCTTAGTTCTTTTTTGAGGATACCAGTGCTTCATCCTGTGATTATCAACTGGCACTGAAGTTTCCCAGATTAAAGAATTCAGGTGTTGTCAACTTAGCCCTCCTTTTGGTTCGTAATAATCCTCAGTGATGCGACAGTGGCATCGATACATTGGAATAACATTGTAGTGCAGTCCATTGGGTTCTCTTGGGATCTGCACCTCACTCTCCGTTCGTTGAACTATAACTGAGAGTACATTTGCCGCTGCGATAACATTTCACGTAAACTTGCGGTGCCCCCAGTCAGTCATGGACCCGGAAAAAGTTATATACTAGGGATAATAAATTTACTCCCTACGTACAGAAGGATTGTGGAGCTAATGGCATGACCGAGAGTCCTATATACGGAGCCCCAAGTGCCCCCATAACTACAATGTAGAGTTGAACAAACCATTGAAGGATTCCATAGCATCTCCCTTCCTCGGAGTGTCGTCGCTGGCGCTCCCGTTGGGTGACCTTCCGCGTTGGCCATTACAATGTAGTCGGTGGTGTATGAAAAATATTTACGAACCAACCCTGTCAGCGGTCAGATCTGCTTGAAATTGAGAAGATATTTAACCATATTTTTGCTGATTCTGGAGTTTTGCCGGTGGGGGGGATTGTGCTGATAATCTCGTACACCCATCGCTTTTCGTAAGAACACTAGCTCGAAAGGAGGGTCGTTTAATGGAGGTTACGGTCTGGAACAGCTTCGTTGGGTTGAAGCTTTGCGCCTCTTTAGTCTCGCTACCCTGTTCCCACTTCAGTGGTGCCTAGCCAGATATCCATCCGGATTCCATCCAGCTAGTAGAGAGGTAGAGGATAAATCGCGTGTTCACTTTATTGACATCTTCATGCACCTATCGTAGTCAGCTCTGTCGCGAACTGTTCCAGACGATTAATGGCCGCGGCTAATGTCGCTTCGGTTGTTAATAGCAGATGTCATTTTCCACCCGTCTCTTACGGGCTGTCACAGATCTTTCCATCCGCGGCCCATGCCCTTCCTTCTTCGCATTAAGATTTAGTATTCGGCAATGGAAATTAGGGTAGTTGTCCCTTGGGCTCGGATTCGCTTTCCACTACCACTAATGTAGCGTCTCGTGACTTCTCCGAAGGCGGAATAAGGCGGTATGGAGGGCTTAGGGACTACAGGCTTGGCCCGGAGGCTATGCCACCCAGCGAAAGTACAATGGTGGAGCCTCAAGTGTTCGCACAGCCGAAGTGCAAGGTTGAACATGCAGGCAGGGTCCTACACTTTTGCCTTTTGATTTTAAACCCTTAATTTGCTAAAAATGGAAAACCGTGTGCTTTTAAGCCTGTAACCATTGCTACTTATTTTGGGGTAGTAAAGTCGTTAATGTTTTATGCCGATTTTTATGCACGCTTTAGAGGATTCAATAAAGGCGGTAATTACCATGTGGTAATGTTTTACGTCACCTATTAACGAAAACGGATCGCCGTTTTGCTTCCGTGATGGCTAACAAAGTTTCTTCTTGGCCACTCTTACTAGCCGACTGTTGGGATTCAGGTCGGTGAAACAAGTTTGGTCCAGCAAAAAGCCGCACTTCATCGACATTATTGTCTCAATGGATTGGTACAAGTTCGACATGCAGGCAGCACACATCTTTGGTATAATTCTTGTATAGCTGGTTCCATGCGTCAGAGGCATGCATTTTTTTCGGCCCACACGGCTATTTAATGTGTGAGGTCGCTTCAATCCCAGGAGAAGGTGATTTTGGCAATGGGAGTAATTTTCGTCATCCATACACCTCTACTCACCCATCAATGGTGTGTTTGACTTGTCAGTGGCTGTCACCTGGCATGGATGGCTCGAGGGCAAGGGTTGCACGTCGTGGCAATCTCCGAGTCACCCCACCGCCCAACGAAGAGACAACGGTCCATACAGTATTAATCAACTCACCCGCTTGTCACAACGCGCTTCCACTGTTGGTATGCGTGTGATTCATTCGGGTGTACGTGCTTCAGCGTTTGCGTCCGCGTCGGTGACTCAGTTGAAGGTGGCAACAATGTAGTAAAATCAACACGGCAACAATTAGGCCACTTCACATCACCGCATTTTCACAGTAGGTATCACAACTACTTTTACATAGTTTACCCTCCGCTGGGATTATCAGGCTTTCCTTCAATGCGTCCTGCACCGAAAGAATTCTCTTGACAAGCGCGCTTGTACGTATGCGACCAATGTCACATATGTGTGACGCCTTGATTCTCCTACCTGAGCCTAGTGTACTTTACCACCGGATGCAACCACTCATGAGACTGAAATTAATTGGTTGAGTTTAGGAGCTAGAATTATCCCCAAACTAAGACAGTGTGTGGCATCTTAGGGCACCCAAACTCTGGTCAATTTTCCTTCGGGACCCTGGTATTGAATGTGCTGAAGTCTGACCCTTGCCGGTAGTATTTAGTCAGCATCTTGGTCATTTATCTTTCCTCATGGCTGCTTGCTTCCAAGCGTTTCTGCCTTATCACAGCGCACACCTTATGGTGCCCGAGTTCTCTCCGACGATATCACGAAGTATGTAAGCCTCTATTTTCCAATCTTTCGCCAGCAAACAACCTACTCCCACCCACTTATCCCCAACACATCATTATTTCACAAGCGACTGCCTAATACTAACACCAGGAGAGGGCGATGCACACAACTGGCGCTTGGGAAACTACCACTCGAGAAATATGGAAGATAGCGGCGAGGCAGTATTTTCCCCGTCCCCCACCCTGATACCCCATACTATTCCATCCTATCCTAAAGTGTGAGGTGCTAGATCCTCGATGTTTTTGGAGGGAAGAAGTTCTACCCCCACAGATGGATGGCAGCAATAACTGTTTGGCCTTCACCAAATTAACATTTCCCAGGGCACAATTGTGTCTGCAGTCCGTCTCATACATACGGGGCAAGCAGTCAGTCCTTTAGGAATATGAGGTGTCCAGTGGGGTAATGCATCATTATATTGCATCGCGGTGTTGAAATTAGCGCATTCTTCAACCTACTTTACTAGTTTCGACTGTTTATCGGGAAAGAGAGGTTTTTTCTCTAAGAACTCGGGTCGTGTCGAGCATCGAGTAGGTAGATGTAGGCCAAAATTGTTTGGCATTCAGTAAGTGAACACTTCCCAGTGAACGATTGTATCGGGGAGTCCACCACACACCCACCAGCACACAAAGCCAGCGCAATCCTTTGGGTATGGAGTGATGCATGACTTGAAAACTTGACGTGGGGAGTGGGGCAATGGAAATGTTCATTGGCTTAACGGACGTTGAAATACAAAAGCCTTTTCTCATCACATTTCGGATAGTCACAGTGCTTTTTGACAACGTGTGTAAAGAAAGCGAAAATTGGATTGCAAGTTTTTCAAACTGCTTGCCTGTCTGTCATCTCTTGCTAATAAGTGACATGCGGGTGATACCCACTTGCGTTGAAGGGTCCTTGACTTCCACAGCTGACGAACAACTGTTTCATCATCACTCACTTTGACATTACTGCATCTTGCTTTCCAAATGCTCTGCAAAAAGTTTGACAAGAAGCATCGGCAGTTTGGAAGATGACAGAAGACAAGCTCCGATCACCTCCGTTAGGTTTAACTGTCATTGTATGCTATGAGGGCTCCAAGGGAGGTAGGTAAAACAATAAATAGCATCAATCCTGCAAATATAAGAAAGATGTTTGAACGAGATATATCGAAAACCGCACGAATCTTTTTTGGCCAACAGACATAACAAACTTGGTCGCTAATTTACTCTGAAGTCAAACCTCTCTTAAAAGCATGTAACTCTAGTGCGATTCAAAACGAGCGCCTGAAGGAATTATGCTACTAATTATTTACTCAAGCGTTCTTTAAGGGCTTTCAAGGGGTTTTCAAGTCAGAGCGTAGGAAGATGGCAGGTCAGGGTCAGCCGCACACGAAACGTACCACAAACATCCACCCAGCAACTATGGCACGTCCGCCACCAGAATTCCAGGGTAAGACCACCTCAGCCTGGGCGTTTCACCATTCAAACATGGTAGCAATCACCTTTTATCCCATCTCGCCCTCTCAAGCTAACCTGATCCCCTTTAACTAAACATTCCTCACGCGGTGACTCATGGCGAACAGGTCAGCTGCGGTCCGAGACGAGCCTTCACTTGGCAAAATCAACCAACCCTGACACCCCTAGAGCTATGGATGAAGTATTTTGGCGTCAGCGGAGGGACTGTCAGCACTAGGTTTTCATACCCTCTCCCCACTCCTCGGGTGACACGACTTCACCGATAAGCACAAATATGTATGCATTTGATGAGCAGGCGGATATCGTCGCTAGCGTGGTTATGAAATGGAGGCAGGAGGCAGGGGTGGCGAGAGGCGGACATAAATCGAGATAGAGCAATAAAGATGTAAATAGCACCAGCGTAGGTAGTGGATGAGTGAACGAATAAGTGAAGTTGGGAGCTGGAGAGGAGAGGAGATGAGAAAAGTAGGGTGGTGGTGGTGGTGGTGGTGGTGGTGGTGGTGGTGGTGGTGGTGG